ACGCTCCCCACATTCATCTACATCATCGCAATATGCATCCCTCCCACCCATTGATTCCACACTCCACATCGTCCCTTCGCGTTCACCTTGACTCTCGGTGCCGTAGATACTCTCATAATCAACCTCAATATCCGAAGAGTAGTGGTCTGAGGAGTACTTCCATCTATCTCCGGGGACCCACCATCACCGTCGTCTCTATACACCACGATTCGATGTGTCGTCAACTCCCCATTCGTAGTTCCACCTTTACTCCTACCCTTTCGTCGACCACTCATCCTTGACCCTGCCCCCAAACCTCCATTCACACTTGACCATACACTCCTCTTCCTCTTCCTATCTCTCTCCCTCACAACAGGCGACACCGGACTCAGCTCCTCCATCCCCTCAATCGCACTCCTCACCAGCCTATGGGAGTGCGGTGGACGTCGTCCCAATTCACCCTCCCCATGTCCACTTCGAAGCAATCGAATTTCAGGTCGATAAGGATGAGATGGATGCTATTCCCCCTCCCCGACTGTGTGTGTGACATCCTGCATCCCACCATAATGTCCCCTATACAACGAACCCCTGTCAACGCCCTCAACACGCCCAAATCTCTGTATGAAACTTCCCTAGCCTCCCCTCACCTCTCGCTTGGTTCATTCCCCCCTCAAAACCATCGAAATCCGGCGATGCAGGCACAGAGCGCATCCTCGAGATGGATAGCCACACAGCGGAATGGGGTAAGGCTGGGGCAGGGGAAGGTGGTGGATAGGCATGATTTCGGCACGTGGTCGGGGAGGAAAGCAACTACGGAGCGCAACGAGGAGGGAGTGGTAGGCAAGTGGGGTTGGATTTGAGATGGTGGTGGTAGGCGTATGGGGAGGAGGTTGACTTGGATAGGGTAGAAATGATGCTAAGGAATGGCTAAGGGAACGAAAGCGAGGTATATGCGCTCTCAAATGTAGCCCCAAGACGTAAACTTGACGGTAAAGATAAAGGCGGGAAATACGGTGGCAAAAAAGGCAGCCCCGACATCTTCTACAACCGAGAGCGGGATGAGAGAGCGAAGCGGTTAAACATGTAGACAAGGTCAAGAAATACGGAAAGGAGAAGCTTCATGAGATGTCACGAGAGCCGGAGAATGACATGAACACTAAAGGATGGCCCGAAAGTGAGAGCGTAGTCGAACAGTATTCGCGCCATGGAGGAGAAGGAGGAAGAAGAACACACAACGCAGGACGACATCACGGAGAGGAGAACGTCCACTGCCGCACTGGGAAAAACAAAGAAGGTGAACAAACATCATTAATCATGTTCAAAGACGACATCACAGTCAAAAATGACACGCTACCGGCGCAAACCATGATGCGTTGCAAATCGCAACTGTGAGACAAAAAACTACGACCAGTCCTGAGCCAGAACGCAATGCGTTCAACTTCGGGACGGGTTGCAAAGCCTGAAAAAAAGGAAAGACGAAAGGGAGTAAAAAGATGAATGAATGAATGAGAACTGACCTGCATGACGATGAGATAAAACGCGAACTCAAGTCAATGGGTGCACCAGATACCAACAGCGGAGGATGACGAGAAGTTGGAGAAGAGATCACGGTCTCGGCTTGCCCTGGCAAATTGAAGCGCAGAAATAAAAATTCAAAGGGAGAGTCATGTCGGAAGAATGAGAAAGAGCTTCAGCCCACGACCAAACCGATACGGAGTGAAATATTCTGTCCAGTGATGAACAACCAGTGAAAGGGAAGGAAAACAAGATGAAAGGGAAGAGGGCAAGAAAAACAGAACCCAGAGGAAGGAACACAACGCCCGAGGTCATCCGCAGATGGGGCAGGGTTAGGCCACTTCAAGATGGGTCCAGCACCGCATGGCTCAATGTGGATGTAATGCAGTGGATATGGACGGGGTGGTACGTCCGAGTCTGCGTCAAGAGAGGGTGCGAATGGGGTGCAAGAGGAGGAGTAAGATGGGAGAGGAAATGGAAGAATGAATGTGGGTGCTGAGAGATGTGAGAGCGCTGAGCTCGTTCCAACTGAACCCAATCCAATGACGACATCAACGAACTGGCCTCCCTCTCCTTGTCCTTTCCTTTAGCTGTCGTGTGACCATCCCTCAACGAAGTCCCTCATGCCAATTCCATGCTGTTGTCGAGAAGGTGTCTTCCTTGGTGGATGAGTGGGAGGGTGAGTAAAGACAGGTCGTTGTTGTTGCTCGTAAAGAAGCAACAACGTCATCGTCACCCAAGTTCAATTGAACGCGAATCAACTGATTTTATGTCACGTGAGCGCGCTATCATACCCTCATGCATGATGCTCGCGATTTCCTCTCGCCCTGCCCCTCGTGTGCCCCTCGCTCGTTTAAAGCTATGGCAAAAGGAGGAAAATAAATGGAACGTCCAAGTGTAAGAAATGTGTCAAAAATTAAGCTGAAAAAACACCCAGCATCGCTGAGATGAGTGACAAGATGAAGAGTGTGTAAATGGGTGACACCAGACGCGCGAACGCTGAACTGAGGCTGAGAGAAATAAAAAGAAAATGACAGAAAATGTCGGGTGATGGGCGCATTGGCACTCATATTCTTTGTCGTGGTTTAACCCCCAACTTGATATGCCAGTTAGTTCACAGATCCTTGGGCTTAAATGAATCATCAGCTCCGCTGCATTTATATCTGGCATGGATTATATTCGAGTCGGGACCACACTCGGCTACATGCTGTAGTATGTACACACGCTCAATATCGTTAGCAAGTTTTTTGTCTCCATTGATCACTATCATCTTTTTTCATCGAGTGTAATTTAGCTATCACGGTTATAGCAGACGAGAATATGGGTACAGGGAGTCGAATCAGGACATGACATTCAAACATTGGAAGATTGTGATCCAGTAATTCAATAATAAGTTGGTACGACATAGATAGAGAGTGACATCTGATTCAGTAAGTCATAGAAACGACGGAAAAATCAACGGAAAATAAGAGTACCACTATAACTAGCTAAACCGCAACCCCAGAGAGCGCTTCAGCGTTGCGACCCAAATAATTTCTTCCAGAGCCTCTTTGCGCCTTCCAAGATACGACGACGCATTTCTCTCAGCGTGGCTGGAGGTCCTGGTATGGTGAGTGGTCCTGGCATCGCAAGCTCCGGTCCAGTTGAATCGTCCCTAGGAAGTATTTGTGCCGATGGGCGTTCGGTGGCGATGTTGATTTCCGGATGAAGGTGCTGTGCTGCTTCCTCGAAGCCTGGTATGGTGAGCGGTCCTGGCATGGCGAGCTTCAGTGCAGTTGAGTGCTCCCTGAGAAGTATTTGTGGCCATGGGCGTTCCATAGCGATTTCGATTTCCTGACGAAGGCGCTGTGCTGCTTCCTCGAAGCCTTCAGGAGCGTCTCCATAGGCATTGAATTGTTTGATAAACTTGGTCAGAATTTCGTTATTTTCGCAGAAGTTTCTTTCCAGAATGTTTCGCAAATTTATGTTGATCTGGGCTTCTAGTTGTGCCAAATCGTCTTCGATGTTACTTTTCTCCAGAAGCGCATTCTCGATCCGCTCATACAGATCTTGGTACAGCTGTGGTGTGCGAGTTCTCAGGATGGTAAAGAGTGTGTCCTCGCCAGGTACCATGCCTGCGTCCAGGATCTGTAATGCAGACAACTGAGTGTTTGTAAATTTCACCATCTTAGTGCCCTCATCAATGAAGTCCTAGTTCAGAAGTATATATATATCAGTTGGCATTAATCGTTGTCATTCCACAAATGATTCCATACCTTCAACTGATTATCATGCAACTGCTCAAAATTGGATTGCCCACGACTCAGCGCTCCTTCACTGTAAAGTGTGTCCCACATAGTGGTTACGAACATCAAATCCTTCAGGTTTCTCTTACCTGAAGACTTGAGAAATGTTCGGAGCATTTCCAGTGTCCTCCGCTGCGTTCCTGGTAATCTCGTTCCGTTGATGGGGACGAGATATAAAATTCTGACTGCGTATCGGCTAATGGGACAATGATTTGACTGGTCATCAATTCATGGGTCATTCATGATGAGTGTTCAAAGGCTCACCGTTCCTGATTTAACCAAGCCTTCACCATGTCTAGAATCTCTTTCTCCGAGAATTTGCTGTCCGAAAACCCCGGGGTGTCGACAAGAGTGATTGGATATCCATGCAGCTTTGCATTGACCACAGTGAATGCGCTGATGTGCTGAGTATAGCCAGCGAGTTGATTGCTACTCAGTGATAATTGTTGCGACGGGCCTGCGAGGGCTTCTAGAAACTAGGTATAAAACAGGTCAAGGGGCATGTTATGATATGCGGGATACACGACTTACACTACTTTTTCCGGCTCCAGTGGGTCCCAAGACTCTACAATTAATTCAGAGATGTATGCTTAAAAGTCAAGGGGAGTAAGATACCCACAGAACCAGACGACCTGTACGACCAGCCTTGGGCTCCTCAAGAGAGATTTCCCCAGTAACCTTGATCCATTCCAGATTCTCCATCACGACACAGCTAGTAAATCGATTTGGCGTAATGATCAGAATAGGGATACACAGTGGGACGAGGTCGAGAACTGGGGGTTCACGAAGGTTAGTGTTGATGGTTGAAAAGAAAGTGTCTCTCCTGCGACATGGTCATTATTTACGCGTGTGGCACACGAGGCGCCAGGTTTAGCACCTGGGATGGTTTGGTGACAGATTGACGTGCTAATCTTATCTTTTAGTCGATGTCATCCCATGCTCGTGCGCATTTAGCCAAAGACGGCGAAAGGATATGAACGAGGTCATCCCAATTCGCCCTCGCCACGTCCGTTCCGGAGCATACATAACTCCTCCGCAACGTCCCTAACACACCCACAATCTCAGGAACGTGCCCAATATGAAACCTCCGCAGCCTCCTTGCCAGGTACGCCGCGCACAGAAGGTTATATACTTCCCACCCAACACGGTTTCACTCGCATCACACAAAAAAATTAAAATTAAGAAACAAACCAAAAAAAAACCAAAAATTTAAGCCGGATAATGAGTCTAGCCGACTCGAACGACTGACCTCGTCATGACTAGTGACGTGCACTACCAACTGAGCTAAGAAGGATATGTTAGCTTTGAGCTTTTGGTGTTGACGTGGCACCTGGATTGTATTTGCATGATGTGGTAAGCAGGCACCAGAACCGACTGGGAAGCCTGCAATAAGGATGCTTGAGGCAGGACGACATCCAAAGGTATGCGAAAAAATATGATACCCATAATGATTAAACCAAATTCTCTAAGCACATCCACGAGCCGACGAAACGAAAGATTAATGATAAATACCAAAACAGCTCAATAGAAATCCACAGTCCATCCATCCGCCCATCCTTCCGTCTGTCCACCTCTAACTATTAACCTCCAACTCAACCACCCCCACCACCTATTTTAAACCCGACACTTCACCTCCCCATCCAACGCACTGATAGCCGCACCAAGACACCACCCCAACTCCGTCCCCTCCACCTGCTTCCCCACCCTCACCTTGCGCTCATCTCCAAACTCATACCCCAGCCTCAGGAGCGCATGCATAAACGTCATATCCAAACACCACTCCGGCCTCCCCTCGAGCTCTTCGAGGAGTTTGGGGTTCTTGCTCCACCCCTCTTTGTCCCACCCTGCGCGACCGGCGCAGAGGGACGAAGCGAGAGAGGGGAGGGTGGAGATGGGGAGGTTGTCGAGAGAGGATGGAGAGGTGGGAGAGGTGGGTGGGAGGAGAGGTTCGATGCGGTCGTAGAAGTAGGAGAGGAGCAGGACTTTGCCGTGTTTGAATGTGTCCAGTAGGGAGGGCTGGTAGACGCCGTTGAACGAGCATGGTTTAGTCTCGCAGATCCTGTACAGGGCGCATAGTGATCAGTCAACGTTCACCTCGAAGAGAAAACAATAAGGGAGACTCACACATCCTTCGCAAGCACCAACGCCATAACCCTCTGACACGCCTCAAAGCTCCCCACATCACCACCATACATCACCACCTTGCCATCCTTCCTCCTATCCTCATCAAAATACTCAACCTCCCTCTCCGTCCCCCTGGCCAAACATGGATTCGACACCCTTCTCTGCTTACTATCCTTCACATCGCTACCCGGCCTGATCGAGTCCATAAACTCCACCAACGCATGCAAATGCCTCCGCGCCTGCATCAACCCATACCCGAAATACGAATGCTGGTACAGGACATACTTCTCCCCTCCAAACTTCAAATCATACTTATGTTCCCCTCCTCCAACCCCTTGTCGCTCTTCGTATCCCGAAACTCAGGCTTGAACACAATCTGCGTAGACGCGCCGCCGAGGTCCAGAACGGCATAGGTCTCCTTGCCCTTGTCCGATGTCGACTTCGCCCCGTGACCAATAGTTCCAAGGAGGTAGTTCGCCGTAATCCACGCATACACCCCCTCATCCTTCCCATCCATCACCGTCACCGCGCCCTCCTTCGGCACGCTAAACGGATACTCACCCCTCAGCCTCTTCTCCACCGCCCCCAAAATATCATCAGCCTCCTTCTGTCCAAGCAACCTCAACCCAGCCGTCGCCTTCACCCACACACCCGTGCAAGCCCACATAGCCCTCGGCACCACCTTTGTCGCTTCATCCAGCAACTCATCAAGGGACATCGCCGCTTCCAGTGGTCGCCCAGAGAAGGATGACAGCCCCTTCTGATTCTTGACGAACACCTCGTACTCGTAGGACGGGGAGGCGCCGCAATTGTTGAATTTGTAGATGTGAATCCTCGACCCCGTTGATCCGGCATCAATCATAAGCGACCACTGCACAAGCGTCGATTTAGACGAATGCGGGGTAGTACAGTACGGCGTTGCAGAGCGGTTGGGGTCTGTGTCGAATGTGAGGGGTTTCTCTGTATCGGTGCTGGGTGTAGTATGCGTAGGCGGAGGATCAATCTTCTTTGGAGTGCCTATTCCACCATCTCTAATTAGTCCCCGTCAAAATTGAAATAAAAGAAAGACAGGAAAGCTCACCTTTATCCCCCTACCCAATCTTCTCCTTCAACTCTCCCCTCCTAGGGCCCACAATCCATACCAACCCAATGATCACCACGGCAGCAGTCACAAATCGCTGCCACGTAAAGTACTTGCGCTTTGAGAGTCGCGAGGGGCCGTGGCCGCCTTCAAGGCGCTCATAGTTAGAGGAGCGGGGTGACAGGAGCATTGTTATAAAATTAGAAGCCGAGGAAGAGCGGGTGTGCGAGTGCGAGTGTGAGGTTTTAGAATATGGCGGTGAGTGCGAAGTTTGGGAGTTTTGTTGAGAAGAACGAGAAGACTGCAGTTGAGAAAGAGAGAAAGAAGAGAACCCTGAATGTGTAAAATCAAGCGGCGCAGGGCGGGGTGACGAGGCAGCTGAGGTTGTACTGCTTGTGGATTGGCTGTCGTTTGAGGAAGGACTAGATTTGGAACGGGAGCGGAGGGTAGTAGAGCCGGAAGCAGTGGTGCTGGAGTTGGAGGTAGAGTTGGTGGTGCTGGAGGTAGACGACGTGGAATTGTTTGAAGCTGAAGGAGTGACTGGAGTTGAAGAATCCAGACGAGGGTCGATATCGGGTTGAGAATGTATCATGCAGCTCGTCGATGATCACTTTTCTGAGCTTTGCGCAAGTTTTTGGATTGTCGGCGTTGGTGGTGGTGTTCAATGCCAAAAATCCAGGAAATTCAGAATAAGACGTGGGTTTTAGAAGAAGGAACCAAGAGAGGCCTTATGCATCAATAATCAGGCCAAGTCCTATTTAAAAAATCCTTAAATATGACGTTTAGGTCGACGACGAGGACGATGAGGAGTGGACTTGAATGTGGGTAAAGTGAAAGAAACCTAGTCATCGTGAAGAGAAGTGGTCACAGTTAACAGAAAAATTAACAAGGGAAGAAAGGGAATAGAAACCCCAAGAATAAGTGCAAGGCACACGGCGAGTGAGCGTAAGCAAACGCTGTGGATGGTTCTTCCTGTCAATTGACGCGTTCAACTAAGTTCCAGTTGAAGTTCAATTTGTGGTGTGACTTTGACGTCACGTGGGCGTGCCAGTTATCCGTCACAGATGTCAGACTCAGTCACGACAATATCACCTCCTCGCATTCCTGAACATCGCTTTGTTGTTGCTTAATGTTTATTCGTTTGTTCTCTTTAGTTTCATTTAGACACCACCAAAACTTTTCCTTGTAGATAACTACAGGAAGCTGGAACCTATCTCTTGAACCCTTTTACCACGTGAGTTTCGTGTTTCGCTTCCAATGTATTACTGCTCCCATACGAGGCGCACATGTTACTATAACTTGACAACAGATGGAGGTATTCACGACCACAAAAATGAGCTGAGGCCTCCCATGGTGGCCCTACTTGTATGATTGCATCAGCCCAGGTCAAATATGAACGGCACTCAATTAATTGGGATTTTGATACTCACCGGAGCGATGACGATGTGAACTGAGGCGAAACGGTTACGAAGGTGATGAAATGAACGAAAGAACGTACGAAAGAATGCGCGCAAGGGCATATCAGACGACGAGTAATGACAAAATACGAACACGAGATATCATATTGCTTTGATATAAGGTAATTGCAGTGTAGCGACTTTGTTGATCCGTGGACTAGCTACAACGTAATGACTGAGTGTGATCCATGGATCGCCATGGATTTCCTACATTCTGGGTAAGTAAGGTTATATAATTAGTTCATTAGATATAGTATCAATGTAATAAATAAATACCAGATGAGCAGAACGGGTGGGGGTAGGTAGAGAGATAGCGGATGGGGCGCGGGGGAGGGGAGAGGGGGGTGGGTGGGTGGGTGGGTGAATGGTGGATGGAGCGCGGGAGGGGGTAGGTGGGGCATCAGGTTGGGATGAGCGGAAATGGGGGTTAGTGGATTAGTGAATTGGGCGCGGCGGAAGGGTGGGGCAAGTGTGGGTATGTATGACTGGTAGATGGATGGTTGGACATGGAGGAGTGGGAGGTAGGGGATTAGGTTGGGAAAAGCGGAATGGGGAGGGGGAGGGGGAGAGTATGGATTGGACGCGGCGGAGGACTAGGGTGGAACAATTGATCGTTGGGAGGTGATTGGGAAGTAGGGCACGGAAGGGTTGGGGGGGGAGGAGAAATAGGTTTACATAGATGGGTCGACAGGTCGCTCTGTAATATCCGCGGAAATGTTAGATTTAGAGAAAAAGTAGACGTTGGTAAATAGACGATTTTTGAGCTGCAAAATGGGTAATGCAATATGTTGAAAGAAACTAGCAGGATCGGTGGGAGCTCAACCCGCAGTGGCGGAATGTATTAAATGAAATGGTAGAAGAAGCCGCGACGTTGACTCCGCGGCGGAAATGTGTACGGGATCTAAGAATCCGCGTCGGTGGAGTCGAGGCGCGACGCGGACTCCATTCCGCGGGATATGCCTGACACTGCGGGGTTTGGCTTCTTAATTCAGTGAACAAAGCCTGAGCAAATCGTGAACAAAATTGTAATTTGAGCATTTTTTGATTCTCGTTTTGATCACTGAATCAAATACCATTTTTGGAACCGATTTGCGACATGTTTTGATCAGTAATCATAACCACATTTAGATCAACAAGTTTAGCTCGAATAAGAACACGTCAAATTCACCAAGAAATTCAAGGACAATTCAGGGGGATAATGCTGAGTTTTTGCATCGTGCTGAGTTCACAGCAAGGTCCATCAAGAGATCCGAGCAGCCGGCGTCTCGGAGGAGTCCGAGCCCGTGGAGTGAGCATACAAATCAATAAGACATGTTGGCACTCTCGGCAATAAGGTACAGAATACAATTTAGAGGTGGTGGCAGTAGGTTGGTACTAAAATATCAGATTAAATATAAATAGTCAACAAGAGAATGAAATAAATAAACGTAGTGCTCATGTCTGTAAAAATCTCGCTCGTAGATAAAGAGGCAGGCAAAAAAAATCATACGCAACCAGTTCAAGAAAGATGCAATGGACAATCATGATGTTTCCCGGCGCCGCTGGATGTACTTTCCAACAAACTCAACTGAGAGCTCTTCTATGCGTGATTGGCCACGCCTGAATTCTCCTGCTCCGCGTGTGGCATCCCTC